GGGGGGGGGGGGGGGTTATAGGATGTACTGCGGTGATACAAGCCTTGACAGAACGTGGAGCACAAGGTGGATCGTATGTGGTGGTTGACATTGCTCTAAGTTATCACAACAGCTGGCTTGCAGATATCTGCGGAGAGTACCCAAAGCCTGTTTGGGAGGATGTGTGGACTAGAAATGGGCGGCATGTTTTCCGACATTACGAGATCATGAACGTGACAGTACCGGCATATCTAGGAATGATCAAACGACATTCCTACGATGTACTGTTTCTCCCCGAATTCTTCGAGAGGAGGCTAAGTAAGGCTTTGAATATCGAGGTGCAAGTGGTTAAACTCGTAGTCCAATATCCGACTGGCAGCATAGAGTTAGACTACAACGTTGGGACAAGAGGTAACGGTGTTGACTGGCCAACATGGCCTGAAGATCTATCCACAGACATTGTAGAAGAGCCTGTATATTATTAGAGACTGATTCGACGTTGTATTAGCTGATTGAATGTACAATTGAGAGGAAGCCTCTTTACATAGGGCCGTTTTTGCTTGACGTGGCAAAAAAAAAACAGGCGAAAACGTATATCAATTGATACTAGAAAGGGAAGCTTTGACTGACTCACTCGCATCTGTTCCAAAACCTTCTTTGCCATACCAGACGATAGTCTACCTAGAATGGTAATGTGCTCAGTCCGCTCTACTACCTACAATACAAACCCTTTCGAATAGCCTGTACATATAGATCCTGCATGACGTTTCGTCCTCAATACCACTTGCGCTAGATTGGCACATTGGCGCAACATAACCATGATGCGTAAAAACATACTAATAATAAGTGCAATGTGAATGTCAGTGCTTAGATTTTAGTCAAAGTGGTAGCGCAATGTGACAAGAGAGTCCGGGGGAGAGGGTCTAATAATGGTTGTTCTGTTCATTTATTTGCGATACGCCATAGCTCCTCCATCGACTAGGTATGCTGTACCATGCATATAGCTTGCCTCTTCTGAGCAGAGGAACGCGAAAACACGACCAACGTCCACTGGCTGGCCTACACGCTGGAGCGGAATGCTAGCGCCTAGAGCCGCTCGTTGATCAGCCGTTGAGATAGCTTCTAGTGCTGGCGTGTCTGTATAACCAGGACAGAAAGCATTCACACGAATACCGTGTGCCCCATAATCCATAGAGTCAGTCTTAACAAGCCCAATGATCCCAAATTTTGTACTAGCATATGGAGAGGCACCGGGAGAAGCATTAAGGCCGGCCATGGAAGACGTAGATACGATACATCCCCGACACTTGTCCTCCGACAGTGGCTGCTTGAGCATCTGGCGGATCTCGGCGGGATGGCATAAAAATGTCTTACGGAGTCATCAGCAGATGCACTGAATAGCAAACAGAGAACGCGACTCACACCATATAAATTGACGGCCAACACCAACTTCGAGTTTTTCTAGAATAGGTGTATTTTAGCTCTATATATACAAACAAACCACGAGAAATCGATTGCAACTACTTTCAAAACGTGCAACCCACGCGCTGTGCTGCTAGAAGCTTCTAAAACAGACAGATAT